CCGGGAATCGAACCTGTAACCCAAGGTACATGCCCTTGACTGGGAAGCAAACCCTCGAAACTTCGGCCCACAGGCCGATGTTCTAACCGCTGAGACAAACCAGCCAGGGCTTAATAAAGTGGTTTTTTAAAAACCTCAACATAAAGAAAGTATCCAATTCGAAAACTGGCAAAAGATATAAATAGACATTTCACCAGAGAGGATAGACATACAGATAACAAGTAACCACATGAAAAGATGTTCAACCTCTCTTCAAAATCCCAGCTAGAGAAATGCAAGTCAAAACCGTAATGAGACGTCACCCTGCACCTCCTGAAATGGCTGAAACGGAGAAGAGCGGCGTGGACCTGGCAGGCGAGGGGACAGCGGCCACGCCTGCGCCGCGGAGGCCGGGAGAACGCCGTGGCCGCCCTAGGAAGGGGTCTGGCCGTCCCGCGGATGAGCTTACCGAAAACCCAGCAGCAGCACGGGCATAGACCCCAGAGAGGGGAAAGCATATTTTCATGCAGAAATGTGGTTGCACGTTTCAACTCAAAACTGGAAACTCCCCAGACGGCCTTCCGTGGCGAAGAGGCGAGCAAACAGTGCTCCATCCGAACCGCGGACTGCGAAGGAGCAGGCGACTGGTTCAGTCGGCACCCTGGGTGAGCCTCAGGGAAAGGATGCTGAGCGAAAGAAACCAGTGTCAAGGCCAGACACTGTGTGATTTCACTTATGAGACCTTTGTGCAATGACATAACCATAGAGTTGGAGAGCAGATTAGTGGTTGCCAGGGTAGGGGTGGGGGCAGGGTGGCTGTGGCTCTAAAGGGGAGCACAGAGAGTCTTGCGGTGATATCTTGATTGTGGTGGTGATTACAGATGGCTACACACGGGATACAGTTCATAGTATGGTACACACACACACACACACACACACACACGTCCATGGAAAACTGGGTGAAGGGTGCCCAGGACCTCCCTGTATATCTCTGCAACTTCTTGTGAATCTCTATTCTAAAATAAAATGTTTTTTATGCCCTGGCCAGTTTGGCTCAGCGGTTAGAGCATCGGCCCGCAGACCAGAGAGTCCCGGGTTCGGTTCCCGCTAAGGGCACCTACCTCAGCTGCGGTTCATCCCCGGCCCCAGGTGGGGTCGTGTGGGTGGCAACCAGTTGATGTGTCTCTCTCACATCGATGTTTCCCCTCTCGCTTCCTCCCTCTCTCCCTCCCGTTCTATCTGAAGATAAATGCGAAAATGTCGGCCGAGGATTAAAAAATAAATAAATGCTTAAATAAATATTTGAGAGCTGGCAACATGCTCAGCCCTATGCCTGGTGCTGGGTAATCATGAAGAACACACAGCCCCTGTCGTTGGCAGTTGACTTTGACTATTGAGTGATAAAATGGAGTTTCTTTTTGTTTCTATTTTTTGAAGTCTACTAGCGTCCAGTTCTCTGCACACTTCACTTAGACCTTGGGACTGCTGTGCTGGAAGCCATCCTGGCGCGTGCGGACCTGGCATCTCTGCCCCGTCCCCACTCTGCCCGGGTGTGCAGTCGGAAGGTGAACGTCTCCTTTTCTCTAAGTGGAGGCAGAGTTCTATCGTTGTCACCATTGTCACCTCGGGATGTGACAGATGCTGCTGGCTGGTACCTGTTCTCCCTCCTCACCCCTTGAGAGAGAAATGGTGGGGGGGGTCTGGCGTGTCCCCACCAAGGCGTCCGCTGGGGGACCCTGGAGAGTGTGCACAGTAGAGGAGTCGCTGCTCGTACTTTTCAGACGTGACCTGCCGGCACTGCCGTCTTTCCTGGGAGGAGCTGGCTGGCCGGGTTCCTGCCGTGAGCCACTACCAAGGGCAGAGTGGGCACTGGACGTTCCCAGGGTTCCTTCTGAAGCTGGCTTGGGGGCGGGTGTGTGAGGTGTGACGGTGGGTGGCGTGGGGGCTCATCTGCTGTGTCCTGCAGGGCTGTGAGCGGGTTCCAAAGCAGCTCGGGCTGAGAGGACGCTGGAAATCGGTCAGCTTTAGAGAAATGTTTTCAGAGAACTTTAGAAAATTAGAGGGAAATGTAGAGAATCTTTACAGTTTCTCTGCTTACAGAACTCATAGATGCTCGTTATAGAAGTCCCAGAAAAACGTAACACAGGCAGTGAACTCGGCTACTTCATGGCATTTTCCTTTTTTTAATGATGGCTATATTGGAATGTATTCATATCATGTATCCTGTATTAGAAATTCACCCTTTGGAGGTGTAGGATCCAATGGCTCCACTGGGTGCGGAGGGAGACACACTGGGGCCCCGCCCTGGGCCTCATGCGGGAGCTCCCCGGAGGCCTTGGTGTGAAGGGAAGGAGTCCCACCATCAGGACTTGGCAGATATGGGCAGCTGGCTGGGGCTGGGGCAGAAGAGGTCTAAAGAAACAAACATGAGCCTTGACCCTTGCCTGGGATTTTAAAAATCTACAGATTTGCTAGTAAAACGGTGATTGGCCATTACATCCAGAACTGTGCTGCCCGTCCTCCGTTACAAAATGAATGAACCCTGGTCCCACACTCGAGAACCGGACCAGCACGGAGTCGGTGGGGTAAACTTAAGTCTAAACAGTGCCAGGGGGCACAGAAGACGGGGTGACTGACTTCATCTGAAAGGTTTCATCTGTGTTGTACAAAGGTCAGACCACCTCTCTGTGGCGAAGGAAAGCTGCTAATTGTTGAGCACATCCAGCGGTCGTCCCTCGTTTATCACAGTTAAGCCGGTCCAGACTCTAGCGGTGGCACCTGGCGTTGAAGGAGTCCTGGGGTGCTCGAATACATGGACCTACAGTCCACACGTACAGTAATTTTAATTGTAATTGTAATACAGGGGTGTGTCATTGACTCAGACAACCAAGCGTGCGCTGTTTCATTTTCACTGTCTTGATCAACTTTTTAATGAATATATTTGAAAAAACCGTGAGAGTGAAGCCGCGCAAGTTGAAGCACGAAGTGGCGAGGGACGACTGGACAGGAGGGTAGGCTTTCTCCGTGCATCACCCCGTTGAGGGATTTCTGCGAAAGGGCTCCCTGTTCCCATTTTACAGATGGAATGGTCTCTACCTCTTGCAGGCTGCAGGTCTTTTGACCCCAGGCTCCCTTGGACCCTGCTAAGCAGAGTCGGTGATGTACCAAATGCCCACACCAGATGGCGCTGTGGGCTGCCCCACTGCTACAAATTCACAGAGGGTGCTGACTTCAGTCATTTGTAGGCATCTTTGGAGCAGCCCCCCTACTATGATATACTTAATAGTCTTCCTTAAACTCCTTTTAAATTTTTTATATCTATCCCAATGGGAAACCATGATCTCTTTGCCATAAATAGATGATGAATGTAAACTTCCTTTTAAAATCAGGTCAACTCTTCAGAACAATGTCTGGTCCATGGGAAGAAGGCAAATATAAAAATAAAGCTATTAGAACAATACCTGTTGGTTCATGTATCACCTATACCTACCTCGCAGACCACCGATGCAGTGGAATGCTGTCCTAGGCTTTGAAAATGGGACAGCAGACTGATGTCACGTGGATGCCCTCGTGTTCAGGTTGGAAGGGCTCCTTCCCTTTGCGGGTGGAGGAGCTGAGGCGCTGGGAGGGAAGGGATGTACCCAGAGTCACACTGTTGATCCGAGGGTCAGAGCCAGGCCTGGGTCTGGGTCCTGCCTCCCCTTCATCACCGGGGTGCTAGAAGACCCTCAGGAAACCGGAACTGAAGTGTGGTGCACACGTGTCTTGGCCCTCCTGATGCCTGAGACGTTCACGGCGGGGGCCCCAGTGCAGGGAGCATCCCTGTGGGGCGAATGAAGCCCTGAGATGAGAGTCAGGAGTCGCGAGGGTGGATGGCACCCAGACCACTGGTGAGCAGCTCGCGTAGCTGTCCTGGGCCCCTTGCCCTGAGGGTCCAAGGCAGGGCACGGCGTTGTGCCACCTTCTCTGGTCACTGCACCCCAACTTCGGGCACTGATGTCACATCCTGGCACCTTGTCCCTCCAAGGAGCCCAACCCACCCCGGGGTGGGATCTCGGGCAAATGCTTTGATCCCTCTTCCTTGTCACAGCTAGAAAACATCATGGGTTCCCATGCAGGCAAGTCAAGTGAGGTCCTGATAGCCTCTTGGGCGAAAGGCCAGTGGCCCGGTTCAGCGCCCCTGGGCCAGCGAACCTCCCGGAGGCCAAGGCAGAACTGGGCGACTTTCTTCCTGCTGTGCCTTCAGTCCTCAGAATTGCCAAGTTGGGAGGACCCCGAACAATTAAGTATTTCATTCTGCTTTTACAATCTAGAGCCTTCTGTGTTATATTGTCCAAAATATGTATTAGTTAAAATAACACCAGCTGCTGTCCATCACCACCCCGGGCCCCGGTGGATTACCACCACAGAGCAGCCCCTGACTCTTTAGTCAGGGCACTGACCTCTTTTCCCTTAGATTGTCAAACTAAAAAATGACGACAGCTGCCCTGGCCGATTCGGCTCAGCGGTTTGAGCATTGGCCCACGGACCAAAGAGTCGCAGGTTTGATTCTGGTCAAGGGCACGTACCTCGGTTGCGGTTCGGTCCCCGGCCCTGGTTGGGGCTATGCAGGTCGGGGCTCTCATGTCAATGTTTCTCTCTCTTTCTCTTTCTCTCTCTCTCCCTCCCTCCTTTACTCCCATTTTATCTGCAGATAAATGGGAAAATATCCTTGGGTAAGGATTTAAAAAAAAAAAAGATAACAGCCAACACAACAATAGCTGTCCAGTGGGAATGAATCAACATTATACCTTTCTTTTTTGTCAGATTGGCGAAAAGTATACTTTTTGGTGTGCCGCAGAATTTCAGTCATTAGTTTGTGTGCCGCGAGATGGGAAAGGTCGGACATCAATTCCCTAGCTCAATGCCCTGTGGTCTAGTTGGCCACCACGGGAGTGAGCTCAGCGACACAGCCCCCACCTCGGGGACCCTCCTGCCCTCTGACAGGGACACTCATGCAGGCCTTTGTTGTCTCTCCTCAGTACTGTACCTGGAAGGCTCGGTTCTTGTGTTTGAGGACATCTTCAGACTGATCGCGTTCTACTGTGTCAGTAGGTGAGTACACCTGGCCCCACAGGAGGGCGTCTGGCTGCAACAGATGTCCTTGCAAGGCTGGGTGGGGGTGGGGAGTCCCAGGGAAGCCCCCAGAAGAACGGGTGCAGCCCACAAGATGCAGAAAGAGGGGACAGCGTCTGGCTTTGCCCTGGTAACCGTGGAGGGTGGTGTTAGTCCTGCTCCTTCCTTGGACCTGCGGCAAGGACCCCTTCCTCACCTCCACCTGCTCCGCCGGCTGCCCACCCCCTTAGCTTCCCTGCGCCCGCACAGCTTGGAGTCCTGTGTGGACCCGGCGCACCCCGCTGGGGGTTATAAAAGGAACTTCCTGTGGAGGCGGCAGGAAGGGCTGATACCCTCCGTGGGAGAGCGTGTGATTTCGAGCAGCTGCTGGGTGGAGTGGGTATCTGGTAACCACCCTTGGAGCTGTTCTGTTTACTCAGACTGGTTGCAGGTCGACAGCAATTTAAAAACACATTTTGGTGTCAGAGCTGATGGCTTAAGCCTGACAGAAACTGGCTGGAGGCTCCAGGCCCACTTCTCCCTCCTTGCTGCCCCTGATGAAGTCCACACTCAGCCCCGGCACCACTCCCACCTGCCAGGGCCCTCCTGGGCCCGATGGGCAGAAAAGGTGGTGCTGATTATACGGGTTGGTGACAGCTGCTGCCTGTTGAGGGCTTTCCCAGCACTAAGGGTTCTTATAACCATTGTCCTTGTAAGTCTTGCAAACATGGACACGAGGTAAGTGCTCTTGTTATTCCCATTTTATAGATGAGGAAACTAAGACTGAGAGAAGTAACTTGCTCAAGGTCACATAGCTGGTAAATGGCTGAGTGAAGATTCAAAATAGATTAAGCTCCAAGGTCCACTCTGCACATCTGCAGTGACTCTGACAACCTAGCACGCCCTCCAGGCCCACAAGGCAAAGCATCGGAGACCCCTGCCCTTCGTAGATTATGACATGTCAGCTTGTCCGGGAGACAGGCCTTCCCTGTGCTGAGTTCTTACCTTAGTAGAGGGTTTGGCACATTCCAGGTGCTTTGAATGAATGAATGAATAAATGAATAAATGAATGATGACATAATTGCAGAGCACAGAACTTGAGGTAGTTACTTAATCTCTCTGAGTCTCAACTCCTTTTTATACAAAATGGGAATAATAGCCATTAGAGAGATGCTGGAGGAGGAAATAAGATACAGAGACATTGCCCAGCTAATATGGCTCAGTGGATGAGTGTCAAACTATGCACCAAGAGGTCGCCGGTTCATTTCCTGTTCAGGGCACATGCCCAGGTTGTGGACCAAATCCCCAGTGGGAGGCATGCAGGAGGCGACCAGTTGATGTTCTCACTCATCGATGTTTCTGTCTCTCTCTCTCTCCCTTCCTCTCTCTCTAAAATCAATAAAGAAAAAAAATTTTTTCAAAGATACAAAGACAGCACACTGCCCAATGCCCTGTAGGTGCTCTGGTTCTGTTTCCGCAGATTGAGCTGTTGGAGGGTGTACTGATGAGCTTTTGGAGGGTGTACCAGATGAGCTGTTGGAGGGTGTGCTGGATGAGCTGTTGGAGGGTGTGGTAGAGTAGATGAGCTGTTGGAGGGTGCAGTAGATGGGCTGTTGGAGGGTGTAGTAGATGAGCTATTGGAGGGTGTGCCTGATGAGCTGTTGGAGGGTGTGCCTGATGAGCTGTTGGAGGGTGTGCCTGATGAGCTGTTGGAGGGTGTGCCTGATGAGCTGTTGGAGGGTGTGCCGGATGAGCTGCTGGAGGGTGTAGTAGATGAGCTGTTGGAGGGTGTGCTGGATGAGCTGTTGGAGGGTGTGCTGGATGAGCTGTTGGAGGGTGTGCTGGATAAGCTGCTGGAGGGTGTAGTATATGAGCTGTTGGAGGGTGTGCTGGATGAGCTGCTGGAGGGTGTAGTACATGAGCTGTTGGAGGGTGTGCCGGATGAGCTGCTGGAGGGTGTAGTATATGAGCTGTTGGAGGGTGTGCTGGATAAGCTGCTGGAGGGTGTAGTATATGAGCTGTTGGAGGGTGTGCTGGATGAGCTGCTGGAGGGTGTAGTACATGAGCTGTTGGAGGGTGTGCCGGATGAGCTGCTGGAGGGTGTAGTATATGAGCTGTTGGAGGGTGTGCTGGAAGAGCTGCTGGAGGGTGTGCTGGATGAGCTGTTGGAGGGTGTGCTGGATGAGCTGTTGGAGGGTGTGCCTGATGAGTTGTTGGAGGGTGTGCCGGATGAGCTGTTGGAGGGTGTGCTGGATGAGCTGTTGGAGGGTGTAGTAGAGTAGATGAGCTGTTGGAGGGTGTGCTGGATGAGCTGCTGGAGGGTGTAGTAGATGAGCTGTTGGAGGGTGAGCTAGATGAGCTGCTGGAGGGTGTGCCGGATGAGCTGTTGGAGGGTGTGCTGGATGAGCTGTTGAAGGGTGTAGTAGATGAACTGTTGGAGGGTGTGCCGGATGAGCTGTTGGAGGGTGTGCTGGATGAGCTGTTGGAGGGTGTGCCGGATGAGCTGCTGGAGGGTGTAGTATATGAGCTGTTGGAGGGTGTGCTGGATGAGCTGCTGGAGGGTGTGCCGGATGAGCTGTTGGAGGGTGTGCTGGATGAGCTGTTGGAGGGTGTAGTAGATGAACTGTTGGAGGGTGTGCCGGATGAGCTGTTGGAGGGTGTGCTGGATGAGCTGTTGGAGGGTGTAGTATATGAGCTGTTGGAGGGTGTGCTGGATGAGCTGCTGGAGGGTGTAGTACATGAGCTGTTGGAGGGTGTGCAGGATGAGCTGCTGGAGGGTGTAGTATATGAGCTGTTGGAGGGTGTGCTGGATGAACTGCTGGAGGGTGTGCTGGATGAGCTGTTGGAGGGTGTGCTGGATGAGCTGTTGGAGGGTGTAGTAAATGAGCTGTTGGAGGGTGTGCCTGATGAGCTGTTGGAGGGTGTGCCGGATGAGCTGTTGGAGGGTGTGCTGGATGAGCTGTTGGAGGGTGTAGTAGATGAACTGTTGGAGGGTGTAGTAGATGAGCTGTTGGAGGGTGTGCTGGATGAGCTGTTGGAGGGTGTGCTGGATGAGCTGTTGGAGGGTGTGCTGGATGAGCTGTTGGAGGGTGTGCTGGATGAGCTGTTGGAGGGTGTAGTAAATGAACTGCTGGAGGGTGTAGTAGATGAGCTGTTGGAGGGTGTGCCTGATGAGCTGTTGGAGGGTGTGCCGGATGAGCTGTTGGAGGCTGTGCCGGATGAGCTGTTGGAGGGTGTGCCGGATGAGCTGTTGGAGGGTGTGCTGGATGAGCTGTTGGAGGGTGTGCTGGATGAGCTTTGGAGGGTGTAGCAAATGAACTGTTGGAGGGTGTAGTAGATGAGCTGTTGGAGGGTGTGCCTGATGAGTTGTTGGAGGGTGTGCCTGATGAGCTGTTGGAGGGTGTGCCTGATGAGCTGTTGGAGGGTGTGCTGGATGAGCTGTTGGAGGGTGTAGTAAATGAACTGCTGGAGGGTGTAGTAGATGAGCTGTTGGAGGGTGTGCTGGATGAGCTGTTGGAGGGTGTAGTAGATGAACTGCTGGAGGGTGTGCCGGATGAGCTGTTGGAGGGTGTGCTGGATGAGCTGTTGGAGGGTGTAGTAGATGAACTGTTAGAGGGTGTGCCAGATGAGCTGTTGGAGGGTGTGCTGGATGAGCTGTTGGAGGGTGTGCCGGATGAGCTGCTGGAGGGTGTAGTATATGAGCTGTTGGAGGGTGTGCTGGATGAGCTGCTGGAGGGTGTGCCGGATGAGCTGTTGGAGGGTGTGCTGGATGAGCTGTTGGAGGGTGTAGTAGATGAACTGTTGGAGGGTGTGCCGGATGAGCTGTTGGAGGGTGTGCTGGATGAGCTGTTGGAGGGTGTGCTGGATGAGCTGTTGGAGGGTGTAGTAGATGAACTGTTGGAGGGTGTAGTAGATGAGCTGTTGGAGGGTGTAGTAGATGAGCTGTTGGAGGGTGTAGATGAGCTGTTGGAGGGTGTGCTGGATGAGCTGTTGGAGGGTGTGCCGGATGAGCTGTTGGAGGGTGTGCTGGATGAGCTGCTGGAGGGTGTGCCGGATGAGCTGTTGGAGGGTGTGCTGGATGAGCTGTTGGAGGGTGTAGTAGATGAACTGTTGGAGGGTGTGCCGGATGAGCTGTTGGAGGGTGTGCTGGATGAGCTGTTGGAGGGTGTAGTATATGAGCTGTTGGAGGGTGTGCTGGATGAGCTGCTGGAGGGTGTAGTACATGAGCTGTTGGAGGGTGTGCAGGATGAGCTGCTGGAGGGTGTAGTATATGAGCTGTTGGAGGGTGTAGTAAATGAGCTGTTGGAGGGTGTGCCTGATGAGCTGTTGGAGGGTGTGCCGGATGAGCTGTTGGAGGGTGTGCTGGATGAGCTGTTGGAGGGTGTAGTAGATGAACTGTTGGAGGGTGTAGTATATGAGCTGTTGGAGGGTGTAGTAAATGAGCTGTTGGAGGGTGTAGATGAGCTGTTGGAGGGTGTGCTGGATGAGCTGCTGGAGGGTGTAGTACATGAGCTGTTGGAGGGTGTAGTAGATGAACTGTTGGAGGGTGTAGTATATGAGCTGTTGGAGGGTGTAGTAAATGAGCTGTTGGAGGGTGTAGATGAGCTGTTGGAGGGTGTGCTGGATGAGCTGCTGGAGGGTGTAGTACATGAGCTGTTGGAGGGTGTAGTAAATGAGCTGTTGGAGGGTGTAGAAGCTGTTGGAGGGTGTGCTGGATGAGCGGCTGGAGGGTGTAGTACATGAGCTGTTGGAGGGTGTGCCGGATGAGCTGCTGGAGGGTGTAGTATATGAGCTGTTGGAGGGTGTGCTGGATGAGCTGCTGGAGGGTGTGCTGGATGAGCTGTTGGAGGGTGTGCTGGATGAGCTGTTGGAGGGTGTGCCTGATGAGTTGTTGGAGGGTGTGCCGGATGAGCTGTTGGAGGGTGTGCTGGATGAGCTGTTGGAGGGTGTAGTAGAGTAGATGAGCTGTTGGAGGGTGTGCTGGATGAGCTGCTGGAGGG